TTTGGATTGGTGTGGAAATTCCTCAGGGGAAATTCCACTTGTGTTGATTCGACCGAGTGTGAAATGTTCACACAAAACCCTTGCATGTTCTGCACGAAGTTTTTAAAAAGGCCATTTGTGTATATCGTGACCAAATGTGAACACGTCTCATTTCATTATCTTCCTGAATTTTGATCTTATTTCATCGACATATAACTGTATGTAGTAATCATACATCATGCTGAAGAGAAATTATTATTGAATAATTACTAATAATTGCTGAATGAAACTTTAAAATAGATCTTAAGAGATCTGAAAAGAAATGGCTGAAATAGAGCACAAATATTGTGCTCTATTTGTACATCTTGTTACAGTATATGAATGTTACATGTATGAATAATAAATGCGTGCCTAGCAAGAACGTTTTGGTATACTGATCACACACATGACCACATCTTAGAATTGGACCATTTTAATCGAATGCAGGCAAATGTTAAGAATGGTAACGCCCATTTGCTAATCTTCCCCTTTTCTCTTTTTATCACAACCCATCTCTGTCTAAGTCTTTTCAAAATGTCTCGGGTAATGTGGGATGTGGAAGAAGGTAGATGCAATTTGGTGGAAAGTTATGTGCCTCCCTTTCGCATATTTCTGAACAATGGATATCCTCGTGGGAGGTGTTATAAGAGACATTTATAACAAGAATTTAGGACTCACGACGGGTTTAGGAACAATGGCGTCGAAATTGGCAGCTATGCTATGACCAGCCCGAAGAGCTGCAACGAAGTCATCAAACGTCTCCAGGGATCCTCCTGCCATGCACAGAAGCGCGCAATCCGATGACTATATCATGATGATGTCAGGACGAATATAATTTTCATAGGACTATATGTCCACTGTCGAATGCTGCATTTAAGAAGTGTTCCTGTGGATCCCACTCGCGTAACGAACTCCTCTGCATTGAATTTGTTCTGAAATACTATTGGATTCTTACATAATGGTTGGCCGGATTTAAATTTCTTGAGATGATCATAAAGCAATGAGTATCATTTTTCTTCGGGAGGATGCATGATTACAACAGACAGCCGTATTTCTTGTAATGCACTGAAGCATATGATTGAAATTAGTAAACATTTCAGATTTTTTTATACCGGTCAACACTATTAATCGTTTATGAAAACAATTACAGTTAATGAAACATGCTATCGTCGGAAGACCAATTAACATAGTTTTTCAATTAGTATTATGTCTGCATATACGGAACCCTGCCATTATAATTTAACTACCCCCATGAATGTATGTATCAAACCTCATCTTTCGTATTTTAAGTGTAATTAGGTATTAATAGGACGTCCAAGTTGTAACTGGAGCTAAGCCATCTAAATTCTTCCTCTGGGAACTCCTAAGTCAAGATATGAATCCGTTCAAGCACCAGTGGGCATTTCTAGTTCCTCAACTTTCGACGACACATTCAAGCCTGACCATTGACATTAAATTAGTGTATAATCTCACGCGGATATGCGGGACCCTGGAACAGATTGCTGAAGAATCTCATTAATTCGATGCCAAACAATATACACTCTTTTTGGGCATGAAAAATGTGGCTCGCCCTAGTACTAAAATAAAGAACTCATTCGATTAAGTGGGTACTGGTTTTTTTTTTAGCACCAAACTCACATATAATAACACCAGAATGAGAAACTATTCGTGCTACTGTATATTCATTTTATCGTGATCAGCCACGTACGGAATGATTGTTGGGTGGAGCATTGACACAAAATGTCTTTCAGTCTCCAAAACCAGGGGTGATGCAAGCAATGATTATATATCTTACTAGCGAGTTTGTTTGCCCGAAGGGCAAACAAACTCGCTATGGTCGCGCCTTCGGCGCTCCCTTACCTTGGATAGTGATTAATTCAGTCATTTTTTGCGAAATGGGAAACACGTATTTAAAATACGTCCCCATTGAAATGCGTGATATATGGGGTCGAATGTCTTGATTTTTTTCATCAAAAACATTACCTCTATGATTCTGTGTGCCTTACTTGAAATTTTTCCTTGTGTCCCTTTTTGTAAGGGTGGAGAATACATTTTGAAAAAAACTCACTCCAATAATCTACGCTAAGGAGACATATTTCAAAATTATAATTTTTCCTTTACTCAGCCATCAAACAGGTACTTCTGAGGGAAGTTTAAATTTCCTGTCTCTGTTTCGTTGGATCAAAAAAAATCAGGAAAATGAGACTGAAAAAATTGCACTAATGGGTGTTAAAGAATTTTTNAAAAGGTACATGTGTACCAATTTTCAGATTTCTACCCCTTCTAGAACATCGTTAGAATTAGCGTCAGTCAGTCACGATCGTCTATATATATTAGATTCTTCCAGAGAGAAAGCTTCAGGAGATGCTATAGACAAGTTCCTGCAATGAATGTCTCTTAAGAAAGCAAGAGTCATACTTGGTTGGATACATATGATTGCGAGTTTCAGAAACTGACTCAATTCTCCAAATAATTTAGAACGGAATTTTCGGAAGAAGTATCAGACCTTGGGCAAGAATGGCCGGGAGGAAGGCGGCGAGGTAGAGTAGGTGTCCAAACATGGCAACTTCGTAGAAAATCAAATTCTGTGCGAACCGGATGTGGGTGTCCTTCTATGCAATCTTTCGTAGTGAAAAGCAAAGTTGCCATGGCTTCTCTTTTCCCACATGTGGTCTTCTTCCCACTGGAATTTCGTCACTTGATTCATGCTCATGGGCGACGTGTTCTATCGGGTGTCTTCCTCCTCATCATTTCCTTACAGGGTGAGGAGGTTAAAACTCTTTACGAATGGGCAACCGTGGTGTGGCCATGGCTAAAATGAAAGGATTCCGATGTCATTGAAGTTGAATCTTCCCGTAGGAAAGATATTCATAAGAATTCACATCATCCTTGAAGGTTTGATTAATTTATACCTCTGAATTTATACATTACCAGCAATGAATGAATTCATCGTAAGGCTGAATCGGTACCCTTGAGATTGTCTGCGTTACTGCAGAGTAAAACTACAGAACGACTCAGCTTGGTCTCTGAAATTAATTCAAATCCAAATCTGCACTGAAAACAATTCCATGAATAATACTTCATCCGGGGTACATTTGCCTTTGATCCTTACATCCGCATGACCAGGCATGCCCGTAGACACTGTGAATATCCCAAGGAAAACCTTCGGAGCTTGACAGGATTGATTGGTGAATGAGCTGGGTCCCCTCCGAAACTGGGTCCCCTCTGATAGGGGACCTAGTTTCGGAATTTAAGAGATAAGCATTTTTCTTTTCAGGTTCGTACAGTGGTCACGCAATTGACATATGAGATAGAAACCTATGCATTATGAACATTTGTATGATATCGGGCATGGACGGAGAGACCTTCCATCTAGCATGTTCGCAAAAAATGAAGTTCCAACCATATCTGAGTGATGATCCCGCCACTTAACATGTCTCGTTTCACTAGATGCTACTGGATGGTAATGTTTCCTGCTGCACTCGAAATATACTCGTGTACAAACTAAAAGAAGAAAGAGGAAATAAGTAATACATGTGTTGAGAGAGGGAACCGAGCTCAAGGAGACGCCGTGCGATTATTGCGCAATGGAGGGAGTGGGGAAGGTTTAGCTAATCACTCCAGTCCAGGGGCCGTCGTTGGGTTCAGGGACCTAGAAATGCGTTTCTTGTGCAGGAATTGGGAACATTGGATGTTGGCTGAATAGCTTGAGTGGGAAAAGAGGGAAGGCGATGTAAGGGATTATCATTTCTTCTATCCTAAATTTCCTATCATACGCAATGAGAATATAAATAATTAAATGATAGATACTAAAATACATTCAGTAAGAGAATTAAGCATCATATAGTGTCCAAAAACTTAATATATAATCGCGATGAATTCAGTTTTCAGATATGTTTTACCTGCAAAATAGGAAATGGTGCTGCAAGTTCCACGGTATTGTAGCAGAAAAATTTATTACAGGAATATAATATAATGTACATCCCCATTACATCCTCCAGATGCTCTGCATCCCTCTACCTCCTCCATTTGCTGAATATTGGCCATGAACAGCCGTTTATGGACTGTATTTTTTGGGTGTCCAAATGAATATTCTAATCAATTCTCTATCTGATCAATTCATCATTCTGATCAATCAATTCTTTCTCGAGATCAGGTTGCATTATTTTCTCCTTTGGGATCCAGCGGAAAATGCTTTGGCACCTGAAAACGCACTGTTCGAGTTATTGTGTCCCAGCTGTGATCAATTCCAGTTCGAGGAGAATCGAGGAAAATGGCTTTTAAAGATCGAACATTGATAAGCGAAGCAATTGTTTCCCCTTTACTCCGAACGTGACGGAAACCGCTCGTCAATTCAGGACGAAATTCGTCCTCAAGCACGCAAATTAATGGCCCACATCAACTGGAATTTTGCAGCCTTTCCCCCACGGGAAGCCCTCTGACATTCGAACGGGCAATTCGACACGGTGCAGGCATAATTCCGGATGCCAATGCATTTTGATGCCCCGCAGAATAAGAATTACATTCACGAAGAATACCAGATGCAAATAAATGCGAAAATCCTTCTACGGGTATATAATTGTCTCGTCTCTTCAATGTTGAAACCCGCAAATCGATCAAACCCAGTGTTGAGAAGTAATTAACGCTCCTAAGGAAGCAAGACTTGACTTGCCCTATACTTTCCATACATAGTCATTCCCATGCAGACATTAAAGACGGTAATTCGTATTGTATTTGTCCTACAGTATGAAGTATCCCAGTTGGAAGTGGTATCATACGATTCTGGCCCGCAGAACGGAGTGCCGTAGTGAAGCTCGAAATTGCGACATTACTGTGCCTCGTAAGACTTTTTGACGTAGGTCTATATCACTTTCAATGAACTCGTGAGACCCTCGTTCGCGAACCTAATGAGGCTCTCATTAAGTTTTCCCAGCAGGTCAGGACCTTGAAAGCAAACGGCGTTCCATGAAAAACAGCTTAGATGAATGGGTGCAGCAACGAATCAGTCGGATTTTATTAGACTCTACGCTTCGCCGAAGATCATGATCCCTGCACCAAGGGCGCATTCCAAGACGGCTTCGCCGAAGTCGTTGCCCCACGTGCCGCTCTCGTCGGCCCGCCAATAGCCTGGGTAGGCGAGGGCGTTGTTGCTCGTGTCGACGGTCGCCGCGAAGGTCTCGTAGGCCACGCCGCTGTTGGGGTCGCTGTGGACTCCGAAGCCGGATCCGAACATCCTCTCTTCGGGGGCTGCAACGAACATGAAAATCACATTTTACGCTGTAAAAATTAAAGATCCGGCATAGATCGGTGTTTGGTGTCGCTGTGAAACGCGGATGGAGCCATTTTCGGGGAATGAAGCAGGCAGCGAGTCGAGCTACCAAGATCTCAGGATTTCTTTAACGTAATAAAATAAAAAAGAAAATACTGTTAAGTGTATTCTATGCAATTAATGAGGAATTTTGCACAATCACTCATTTGAGTAATTACGAAAAATCAGGCGAAGATAGTTGGAACGGTCATAGGTAGCACAAAAACCGAATCGAACCTCATTCTAAATGAATGCAGGGATTCCGAGAGCATCTTATGCGTCATGAATTCGAAAAGTTCTCATCGAATTGCTTTGGTAGTTATCTGGAAGTTATTAAAAATGGTTACTTCAGTGCCCAAGAATCTCTTAAAGCATATGATATCCTGAAATATGTCCAAACAATTATTTTTGGTATTATATGGCTTGACATTTGGTATGGACGTCATCCAATGTCAGTCCTTTCTGTAATATTTGTGCTCTTGGTCAATAAGAGATGGAAGTGAATAGATATCAATTTGGAGGAATTCCACTCGCAGTTTAAGCTGGCCCAATTTTACCTCCAACTTGAGCGTTCTGAAGGATGAAGCTTACCGCGAAAGTTCTTCACGGCGATGAGGGACAGGAGCCTCTTCACTAGGTTTTTCTTAGTGTTACATTTACACTGCAGAAATTCATGTTTGGGGCTGTCAATGCTTCAGAAGTTAACGCATCCAGATCGAAACAGAGACGCTGCGTTTCTTTCCTCCGGGTATGCACCAAAATGCATGCGGGTGGAACACACAAGAAAAAAAAGGTTACTCACTGCCAAAGCCGAGAATCGTGACGTATCGGAAGTACGCGCCGGCCGTGAGACCGGTGAGGTCGAGTTCGCCTGTCGGGTCCTCGCATTGACTGAAGTCGATCTCGGCCGTGAGTTTCGATCCGCTCAGTTGGGCTTCCATCACCGATGCGTAGGTCGTCAGCTCCACGCTATAATAATGCATGAGGGACAGGTCATCTGGCTAGGACGAGGAGACTCTGTGAGACTCACCGATTATATGCAGGGGCGGTGAAGGTGACCCCGTCACCGATGTCACACGTGAATGCTGATACATCTGGCACGTCGCCCGGATCGACGGGGTTGAACGCGGTGGCCAAGACCTGCAACACGCCGTCCTCTCCCAAGAGGAATTCTTGGATGACGACGTCTCCGGCTTCTATGGGAAATGAGATGGACGAGTGAGGTGCAGAAAAGACGGAAATAACTTTTAGATAGAACACGGTGCGAATATGATTCTTATTACGGTTAGCGATAGATTGCGAGAAGTGGATTCCTGGCGTTTCTCCGCCTACATCATCTGCCCAAGCGAGGATAATGGCTCCAGCGACCTGAGCATGGAAAGAAAAAAATTCCAATCTCAGGTTTTGTAAAGGACTTTTTCCTACGATGTCGACCAATCTCTCGTAACCGTGTATTCCTTCAAATATGGAAGGATTTGAGGAAACGAGCACAAACTACAAATGATCTGCGGAAGTAATCAACACGATTGTCTCGGTGCGATAGGTAACCGATGCCATTATTTAAATGTCTGTGGGAGCGATGCAAAATGCTTCTCTTCCCTAACTTTCATGTCCGCATGTGAAACGCTTCCTTTGGGAGACGTTTGTTATTTTTCCAAACCTTTTCAGTTTGTCGACTGGTACAAAAGTCGGATGGGAAACCCAAAATCGATTCGTCGTCCCGGCACAATGTCGATTATCACTACATTGAACGCGTATAAAAAAGAAAAAAATCCCGAACTCTCAGGTTGTCGACATTTGAAAGCGCACCGGGCTTTCCTGTTCGTGGCTTTCTGAATTAATCAGAAACTAATGACGTAAAAGTCCTCCAGGAACACAGCATTTTTCAGTATGCGATGATCCCAAGAGGCATTTAACAGTTCATAAAGTGCAGTCTTTTGGAACACATTGGATTCCTGCAGTAAGGATTCTCAAGATGGAGGACCACCTCCCAATACCATAAAATGAAAGGAGTGTTGAAAATTCAAAGAGCATTTCTGGACACTATCTGGAATAAGTGACATGTTTCAAAAACACCATGTTTTTTGCGTTTCATTGTATTTTTTTAGCGTTTCGTAGTGAACATTCTCTTTGCAATGTAGGCAACGTACTCAGTTATCGTCCGCTGATTTTCATCGATAGGCAGGCAAGCTTGCCTGCTGGACTCGAATGAATATCAAAATAAGGAAGGCGTTGTAACTGCCCTCAGAGGAAGCTCGAAAGAATGGATGAGCGAGGAATCACCATGAGTCCGTCTGGAAAAGTGCCGGAGCACGAGGAGACATCCACCGAGGCCTGAAGGTCCTTCCCCTCCATGAAGGCAGCCTCCACTTCGTCGTATGACCCTAAGGTGTCGATTGTGTCCTCTGCAAGATGGAAAGACAACGAATGCTAGGTCGAACATCAGGCTTCTATCGGAACGAGACCGATTGAATCGTATTTGAACCTCTCTCCGACTGAAATCCGCGATTGAAACTGACATTATTCATCTTCCTTTCCTCAATAGTCATTCATACGTAGAAAGATGATAATTTCCAGGAGAGAAAGGTAGCAGAGCGTGGAGTGATACCCCAGGGCATCGGACATTTACCTGAAGAATAGTAAACGTTGACGTTATCCCCGAGGACGCACTGAAATCCTTCAGGATAGGGATATTCATCCTCCCAGGTCAAGCTATTGTATTCATGGGCAGTAATATGTGTGGATCCATCCTGAGAAATGGTTGCCCTGATCACCAAGTATACCGTCTCTCCCTCATTTGCGCTGAGGGACAAGCCAGGCCATTCCAAGATGAGCACCTCGTCTCCACCTGCGTCTGCACCCGAAGCAGCCATTGCAATTCTTCAGCCATTTTCAGGAATGAAGTGGCTTGACGAGAGATTTCGAACCTGAGAGGACGTAGTACTGATAGTAGGTCGATCCGGACTCGGCGAGTGTAACCTCGGGAGGCAGGGAATGCTCGCAGTCGGTGATTACCGCAGTCAATACCAATTGACGTCCTTCAGTCAGTGCTGTCATCAGGTCGTCGTATGAAGTCACAGGGGTACTGCAAAAAGCAGAAGCTCAACCTCAGATATGATTAGGGTTCCGAAGTACGTTGTTGGTTTCAGAGAAGAGGAAATTAATTTCCTAGGGCAAACTGCAGCGTATTTTTTATTCATGAAATTGAAGTCATGTACTTCACATCAGGTGATGTCATGTCTAGTTCAAAAGGAAATACAATCACTATTGCGATGTAAATTGAGGAATGTAAATTTTGTATGAAGGTGATATCTCTTGCATGACAATCGCAAGAAATTGACATTGCTTGCAAAAAAATGTATATATTGTTCGTATAAGCGTATCATCAGAGACCTGCCTAGAGTTCTAAGCGGGCCGTGGACAAGCCAGATGAGACAAACGCGATTCGCGGCTCGGAGCAGCGGTCTCGGTCGACGATCGAGCTCCGAGTCGAGAAAGTCGACCCGTGCAGGACTCTAACAGAAAGGTATTTGGACGCATGACGGCAGCATCCGCGGTGGCCTCTTTTACGTTTGGATAATAAGTAATGCCTCCAGGTGAAAAGCTTTCGATCGACAACATAACGTATTAAAATCTGTGAATCAATCGTGGAGGAGTTTCTCGTCGTGCCACGTTGACAGATTAGCCTCTTTACAGAATCCCCTTAAGCGAATTTCTTCCGTATTGCAGATTGGTTCCACCAGGGATGAGAGAAGTCGGGACAAATACGATAAGTTGGATGGCAAGCTCTCGTGTTTGTCATGAAAAATATAACGAAAGGAACTCACTCCGGCTGATGGTTGTCCTTCTCGACGAAGGTGGCTCCTGTGCCGAGCGTGCAAAACGCGGTAAAACTGTCCTGTACGAGGCCGGTCTCCGTTGCCACCTGGTAGGCGTTGAACCCGGAAATCCCGGAGGGCGTCACGTACGAGAAGACGATCACGAACGCCCCGTCAGCTGAGGTGGCAAAGGACCCAGCTGATTTTGCCTCCACGTGGCGGAGGGGCGAGAGGGAGGTCTGAATTCGGACTCACGCGTCATGAAGTTGTGCATCCCAGTGATCGCAAGGCCCGTCTCGGGCGTGTCCACGTATTGCCACTCGTCGTAGTGCAAGGACGCCAGCTGCCAAAGAAATTCTTACGTTCTACTTTTTTTTTTCAGAACCAAACAACGGTACTTCAATTACTAGTACTTCGAATCCAGAGACATCTAGGGATATTCCAGGATTCTAAGCATCTCTTCGAACTTCGTGCTTGACATGGAAATGAAATAGGGTTCGGCTTTTCCTTCTCGGAGTGGATATCGTGGCAAAAAGGAAAATAAGAAAAAAAGAAGAAGAAAAAGGGTCGTGTGCGACTCACGATGGGTTCGGGCACGGACGAGTCTTCGCACTGGGTGGTGTCGAAGTTGCCGGTGACGAGGTGGCCGGCCCGCAGCGACGCGACTACGTCGTCGAAGGTCTCCAGCGGTCCTCCTGGAAGGCATCGCGAACCGGTTGATGATTTTTTAAAATTATTATTGGTAATGCTCGTCGGGTGCTTTCTTGAGGAATGCACATTCTCAGGTTGGGATTCTTCGAAAATAATTGTCTTAAATTGAAGTTGTGGAAGAAAAAAAGTTGAGCAATGCCGGATCTGGTCCGCTTCCTTAATTTTGGTTCACCGAAAAAAACAATACCATTAATCGTGGTAATTCTATAACGCGATTTGGAGTTATTTAATATATATTTATGATAAAAGTATGTGAAACCGTTTTCCCTTTAAAGAATTCATTTGATTACCTTGGACCAGGATGGCCGGGAGGAAGGCGGAGAGGCCGAGGAGGCAGAGGAGGTGTCGGAGCATGGCGACCTGGAGAGTGGGATCCGCTTCGAGGGCGACCTGGGTCCGGGCGTCTCGCGACGGGCGCTTTTATGGGGGACGGGGAGGGCGCGGCCGGGTGGTTTCTTGCGTGTCTCTTCCCATCGGAAAACGTGGCGGGTGGTGGTGGCTCCACGTCGGCGGTTTGTGGTGCGTTTTTGGTATTTTCTGGGGAAAAAGGAAGAAAAAAATGTGATAAGCGGAGATGCTACGGGTGTTCAGCAGACGATATGATAAATGAGAGAACATGCTGGAAATGAGGTTTGAGCGAGAATCATGAAAGATCGTGAAGGACAAGAAACGAAGATATTTGGGGATTTTCGCAGGAGAGCCTTTGGATGGCCAATTAAAAAATGGCAAAAGTGAAACAGGGAATTTGCAAAATAAAAAAACGATTCCATTAACCCACGAGTGAGAATAAACTGAAAATCTGATAAGTTGCGAGCAGTCGTCATATTTTAGCTGATGATTAGCAAACTTCAACCGACTTTCAGCACTTTATTTTTTTTTGTGCTGAGAAGACGTTGTTCCGCTGAATAGGTGAGAAGGCCTCACCTTTTCCACGATTCTTCATCCGAGATGCGACATGATGTTTCTTTCCTTCGAGAGAGAGCGTCTCCTTAAGTTCGACATGCGATCCGCGACTTTTGCATCTTTCGTTCGTTCGTTTGTTTTGTTTTGTTTGTTTGTTTGTTTGTTTTTTTAATCCGGGAAAGGACAGATGCCCAGGTTATTCCATTCCGCTGTTTCTAATTGCGGATGATCGCGTGGAGCATTTTTGGTCAAGGTCTTGCGTGGTGGGAAATGGAAGACGAGGTTTCTGACTGAGCCATCCTCAGACAATGACATCCTCTGAATGGAGGTCACCCGGAGGTCGAAGAAATGAATGGAGTACTGACGCCCGGGGTACGCTCCGCGAACGCCTCGAATATCGGAGACCTTTAAGGGCAAAGTCGGCCGGAGATCGTCACCGGGCCACGGCGAGTGGTCTGGCACATGCCCCATGCACGGCACATACTGGCACATGCCCCATGGCCGAAAGGGTGCAACCAGCAAATCACGCACTGACTTTCTTCCCTTACCATGGCGATTTTCACGAAATTTACTCTTTGCAGATATCTTTCCAGCAGGTTTTTATTATACGTTGTACCGAAACCTGCTATGAGCAATAAACTAAATAATAATAGAAATAAATGAATAAAATAAAGGAGTTGGTTATTGAGGTCGAACGTGCCGGAATCGTGAGAGCAAAGAAACGAGTTCAAGTTTAAAAATCTCAATTTCAACTTGCTCTTCTTCATTGTGTGTCTGTGCAGAAAATGAGGATTTCTCGAAAGACTTGCAAAAAAAAAATTAATTTGACCCAAGTAAGGGCATGAGCGCTGATGTAAGAAAATGTTTTATAAATTTTTTATACATATTTTTAATATCTTATACAAAGGAAATTTTTCATTAAATTGGACAGGAGGGGGTGGTCCCATCATTCCAGAGCGACATTCTCCGGTATAAGCGACATTCTTCGGCTTATTTATAAGTAACTAGAATATTCACCTAGAGAAACGTATGATGCTATTTATTGATAAATACTGATGCAAAAATTTAAAATGATATATTATGAGATACCAATTCCACAGCAAGAAGGCAAAGCCGGCGCTGGCCCCTGCCCCCCCCCTGCCCCCCCCCCCCTTGCCCCCCTTTTTCGATACATGGCATCGTTTTAAATTATCATGAATTTCTCTCGGCTGGAGTTTCAATGACGTTTCGGAGAGGAAAGAGTCGTTGATGAAGGTCGCGGTGGCTTTTTTTTTGCCGGATCCTGGATCACATCGCACATTCGTACTCTGGGATCCCAGAGAGACGCGTGGGTGATATGGTATGAGATATAATATATGAGTGATGTGGGACTTGTTTCTCTGGAGAGGAAGTTCGCAAATGTGATGAGGCTTCCCATAATGTTTCCCCATGAGATTGTCATTACACATTATTTCCTGAGCTTCTTCTGGAAGGATTTAGTTTCAATTGATTATTTACACGTTAAGTTACCAATATATATTTATTTTTAACATTTTTTTTTCAAGACAGGACATGCGGCGGACCCGAGCGACAACGGACGGATTACGGTAGAGAAAGAGGAACGGGTGCCTTGTTTGGCACAGGGATCATACCCGAATCATTGTCCCTCGATGGAATACCCTTTTGAGTTTCGGTGCTTCGGTTATGGTGGCATTGAGGTAGCTCAGGGCTGAATCCATTTTAATGGTTACTGCGTCCTTATCTCCCAGACGTGGGACGCGGATGCGTGTTGTCTCACGCTGCGTGCGAAAGTGGACACACTTTCGCACCTGTCTGCGGATGTCTGCCTCCCGGGTCTGCCTCCAGACCCTGACGGACAGATCCTATAGGAATCCTATGAGATTTTTTAAACACAAAAATATTGTAGGATTCTTATGGGAATCCTATAGGAATTCTATAGGAATTCTATGAGATTTTTTAAACACAAAAATATTGTAGGATTCTTATGGGAATCCTATAGGAATTTTATAGGAATCCTATGAGATTTTTTAAACACAAAAATATTGTAGGATTCTTATGGGAATCCTATAGGAATTCTATAGGAATCTTATGAGATATTTATGCTTCCATAATTGTATGGTATCCTATTGGATTTTCTGTAAGGGGAACCAGGACCGCTGGGCCTGAGGTTACCAAGTATTTATCTTATAGAGAAATTCCCGAGTAATGAAAAGTTCGGTAAGCGTCTAGAAACGAGGTACACAAACTATTTCCGTGCATGAAAAGTCGCAAACATTCCTTTTGCAAATTTTACACAAGAAGTACATATTATCATGCCAACTTCCTAGGTATAATCTCATCCAGAGAAGTTTTCTCCTCATTTTGAACCGAATTCCTCGGTAAAGTCACGGGAATGTCACTAAATGTCTTTGGGTGAATACTTCAGCATAAAACTTAATTTGTTCTTTTTTAAAATTTTTTCTGGACCAAGGTTACACCGGAGATGTCACATATTGCGCCATACCGCAGTCAGCCTCTCAACGGCGGCCCCGCAGTGAAATTGGCTTAACGGGTGCGGCATAATGAATGGCGGGAATTCCGTCAGTTCCCATTTTTCGTTGCAGCGTTTCTTTCTCAGATCATGTAAGGTGAAGACCTCTCAAACATTGCAATTTCCAAATGCGAAAATGGAGACGAACCAGCGAAAATCTTCCGCGATTCGAACGGCGCCCAGCGACCTCCCTGGATGTTCACACGCGGCTCGATCGTCCGACAGCGAACTCGAGAGATCGGCGCGAGCCGTTCGGGAGAAAAAAAGGGAACGATTTTTCTCAAAAAAGAGAGTAAAATCACTAACTCCATCTCAGTCTGGGAAATGAGCGAATATGCTCCATCACCAAGGAGTAAAATTGATCTACTCCTGAGGAAAAACGCTCCCCTCAGAAAGAGATTGAGATGTCATCCAAATACGTAAATCATTATAGGTTCCTCTATGAATATATAATGATATATTCTCCCCAGGACTCTATGAATACGTCTTGAATGCGTGGATAACAAATGATGATGTGTCCGTGTTTATTGTTTCCTATAATGAGACTAGGCGAGACATGTGTCGAGATACTAAACAAACCTGCGAGGGACGATTCCAGGGAAAGAGGGAAGGGTACTTTAGTGTACTGTGCGAAAAGCGAGACCCTTACCGCCATCTAGTGACCAGTCGAATAACTTCAAGGTGTTCACTTCAATGCGGGCGATGAGCGAGCAATTGGTGAATAATAAAAGAGTAAATTTTAACTAGCTCACATAGTGCTCACTTTTTGCTCCCTAAACGCTCGGAATTTTCTAAGAGTGTAATGCTCAATAATGATCTTCACCTTCGGTTTTACAAGAGGACTTTCGAAACGGATAATTTCCGGAAAGAAGACGCCATGCGACTGCGTTTCTTTTCCATGTTATTCCGCGATGGGCGTCCTCTTTTCCGACGAGAAGGGTGGCATCAAGCGGGAACTGGCGGTGGTGGTCTTGCTCGGGGGGCCGGGTTGAAGGGTGGCATGACGCTGCGGGGTGGGGTGTGAGGGGGTCAGGCGATAGGTGGGTGGCGCGGGGAGGCATCTTCAATCAAGGCTATGTGATGTGCCACTGATTTCGACCCCAATGGCAAATGCAAATAATGTGGGAAAGGGAAGCAGAAAAAATTTCATTCTTTAAAGGTGCTCATATGTTCGTTTAGAACCTGCTGTCCTCATCGTTGCACGTCTTCATCGACGAAAAAAAGTTTCTTTCCTCTGAGAGAGAGCGTCTCATGAAGTGCGACATGGGATCCGTGACTCTAGAGTCCTTGATGAAAATCGTGGTTGTTTCTTTTTTTTTTTGCCCTATCCTGTATCGCATCGCACTTTCGTACTCTGGGACCCTCGCGAGGTGAATAAGAACCCCCGAGAACACGTGTGATACTGTATGACTGACACGAGACATGTTTCTCTGGAGAGGAAGTTCGCAATGTGATGAGGCTTCCCATAGTGTTTCCCCATGAGATTGGCATAGCACATTATTTCCTGAATTTCTTCCGCAAAGATTTAGTTTCAATTGATTACTTACACATTAAGTTACAAATATATATATATATATTTTTTTTTTTTTTCAAGAAAGGACACGCAGCGGACGCAAGCGATAACGGACGGATTACGGTAGAAACAGAGGAAACGGGGTGCCTCTTTGGCACAGGCACCACAAGCCAAATCCTCGATAGAATACCCTTCTGATCTTCTGTGCCTCATATGATGGCGTTGAGGTGACTCAGGGCTGAATCCATTTTTAGGGTGTACTGCATTTTTATTTCCCAGACGTGGGACGCGGATGCGTGTTGTCTCACGCTGCGCAGGCACTACCTGCGAAAATGAGTGTGTCGCTTGTCTGGCTCCCAGGCTTTATTCCAGGCCCTTACGAAACTATCCTTTACGATCTTATGAGAATTTTTAAACATAAAAATCGATTAGGATCCTATTGGATTTTCCGTAAGTGGAACCAGGACCGCTCGGCCAGGTGACTGAGGTTACCTTGTTTTTATCTTATTGAGAAATTCCCGAGATATGAGAAGTTCAATAAGCGTCTGGAAACGAGGTGCGCAAGCTATTTCTGTGCATAAAAAGTTGCAAATATTCCTCATTTACAAACATTGTCATATCACTTCCTAGATTTAATTTCATCCGGAGAAATTTTCTCCACATTTTGAACCGAATTACTCGGTAAAGTCACGGGAATGTCACTAAATGTCTTTGGGTGAATACATCAGCATAAAACTTACGAA